TGGGCTCTGCTGGAAGCAGGAGCCTCGTGGCCGCCTTGCCTGCGGCCCTGCCCGGGGCTGCAGCGCCTCCCGGATCGCTTGCTGCCCTGGGAAGCTGGGGAGCAATGCTCAAGCACAGCCTGACTGAAAGGGGCTGCCTCTTTCCCGTGGCTGCTTGCACTAACCCAGAAATCGCCTTTTTTTAAGTGTGGAGAGGTCGAATAAAACCACACCAAAATGTGGAGTTGCCACCAGAATGAGGATCCCAAGTCTCGGGGAACTTGGGGTCCTTCCAGATCAGATTGTTCAGCCGTTTTGGGCAGTGGGGTTGGAAATCCTGCTTACACGCAAACAGTCCTGGTGGGGCCACGGAAAGTAAGCGTCTCCCAGGTGTTTACTAACAATCTAACAACAGACTGACTCTAAAACTGCTCTGCCTGAGTAGCATCTGGCTCCTAGTTTCAATATTCACTTCATGGTTGTCCTGCTCGGGTACATAGCACGCTTACTGTGCTGCTTGGGGATCTATCACTAGCTTGGTTTTTTTTACCTTTCTGTAATGTGTCGTAGATACAGCATGACTATTGTTACTGCTACTAGTATCTTTTGGCAAGCCCTTTCACAACAGCGCTTTTCCTGGCATCTCGTTTTTACTGAACGTCAAAGATTGTCTAAAAAAACCCCACCCCAACATAGAGTGTAGCAGAGGTCATCACGACTCATTCTTTTGGGCATCATGGAGCTATGCAATCGTTCAGGTCTATGGATATCAAAATCCCATCCCTACTATACATCTGCTGCTCTCCTGTCGTTAACACACTGAAGAATGGAGCCTCTTGCTTCTTTTCAAGGGCAGTGTGGAGGCATTCATTCTCTACAGTCTTGGGTAGGTGTTTGTTTTATTTAATAATTCGTGACAATTCCCATCTGCTTACCTAATAGCGTCCCTCTGCCACTAAATGCCCTCTTCTTTCTGCAGCATGGGCCAAATTAGCACAGCTTAAGCAAGCAGTGGAACTGAAAATCCAACAGCTGTCTTACATCAGCTTCCTATGCAGAAACACATTTGCCACTGTGCAAGTGCTTTTTTGTAGTTTAGTCCAAGCCCATTTATAAAAAGCAACTCAGCCTGAGCTGCAGCTATAAATAGAGCTGCAAGAAACCGTTCACCAGAAATCTCTACTAGGCTAGACAAGAGCTCTGAAGTCAGATTTGAAATGTTTCTCTACAGTTTTCCTTCTATTGTTCACTTGTAGCTCATTTTGATTAACATTTAAGATGGCATTAATTGAATTGCACTATCTGGATGCAATTTAGATGGGCAAAAATACTGCTGGATGCTTGTAACAGATTTGCTCTAAATCATCCATTTGTAATAATTTTAAATGATGGTTTTCAGTTAATTTTTCTTTCCCAATGAAGGTGTAAATCCCTTTATAGAATTATTTGAATCTTACAAAGGTTTTTTCTTCCTGGTCATCTTTTGCAGACTCCTCAGAATCAGGGTAAGAATGCCCAGGGTTTTTTGTTCCAGTTACAAGAGATTTAGATAATATACTGCTACTATGCTAATGTTAAGTGTATGTTCCTGTTACAGATTAGCACTGGAGGTCAGTCTGTCTCCTTAGTAATTTAAATATGAACATGTAAACAATGGTGAGAGGGCAATGGAGCAATTTTAATCTCTATGGTCAAAACTAAGCATTCAAATACAGCTGAGCTCAGAGACCAAATTGTTAAAGTTGCTTTGAATTCAGTGTCTGAAGTTCAATTCCCTGCCTTTTAAGGGCTTAGCAATACCCCCCCTCAAGTTCCACTGCTAAGGTTCCTGAATTTTTAATGTGTTGATATGCACTTGTACAGTCATGAAGGTGTCTCAAAGGCAGGGTCACTGATGTGTAGTGTCAAACTGGCTTATGAAGTAACTTTGAAAGAAAATTCCTAAAAGTAATTTTTGAATCAAATGGTAAGGGAGAGGGTGGGAGATGGACGGGATAGAGAAAACATGGACAGGGGCATGGAGACAAGGCAGACAGGTCAGTTGACATGTAACTGGACAGGTCATTGATATGCAGAAGAACCACAGTAGCTATTTCCTTACTATAAGCTGATGTACTTGTTTCAAACAGGTGTCACTTAGAGCTGAGATGGCCAGCCTCAAATTAGGGCTTAGCAACTCATCTGCCCTTGCCGTTCGACCTCAACATGTATCAGATTGCTGTATGTTCCTGACCCTCAGCTGATCCATGAGGGAGAGACAGCCTTTGCCAACAAATGCTGCATCTGATGGCCCTTGAAAAAGAGGCAGTAAAAAAAAAAAGCTAAAAAACTGTCCCCTTTTCCACTACCACAGCTTTGGTCCAAGCCCATGGTTTCACACAAGTGCTTGTTTCTTCCAGACTGAATTAGTGACAGACTGGTCGTCCCAAACAGGAAGGAAGGCTCTTCACAGGTTTTCTGAAGGAGACAGAGACAAGTGTACATGTATCTGTTGTTTCAAATAATTGTCTACACAATTACTATGAGTGAGCCTTGGTCTGCAGATTGCAAACATTACCTGGTTGGCCTGTGACTACAATTTCAATTGCTTGACTGAAAAATTAGGTTTTTCAAATAACAGTATTTTTTTTCTGGTAATAATTAAGAAAAAAACGATAACTGGTTAACTGATATAATTTCAGTTATTTGCATGCTTGCTGATTTCTGCTGAATGGATATTTCACTTCATCAAATGTTCTGTTCAATAACTCTCTTGGTAAGTAGGGTAATACAAAATTTTATACATGAGGTAGACGTTAATTTCATAACAGTTGTTATTTGTGACACTGTTTTGGAATGAAAATTTCTAGTTCAGGTATGTCAGTCTTTCAGAATACCTGACATGCAATTTTTCCTGTCAAAACTGAGATTTTCATTAAGAGGATCTCAATGGCTAAAAATATGTTTGAAAAATGTCCCATCGTAAATTGCCAACAATTCCTGTCAGAGTCTGTGTGTTTAACAGTGGCATCCTACAACATAAAGGGGCTTGTGTCTTCACAGTTCATTTTGACATATTAAAAACTCAATTGACTTGAATAGCTCCTGCCCCTAAATTTGAAAACGTTTAAAATTAATATGCAGCAAACTTTAAAGACAAAGCAGAAGCAAATTATTTAGGCGCCACTTTTGACAAATCCCCACAAATCTGAGGTACTTCAAGGAACAAAAATACTCTCTTAATTACATGTTTTATTTAAGGCACATATACATCATTCTACATTTGTATCCTTGCCAGTCACTCCACTATTTTTTAGACAAGAAAGGAATAATAAAGCTGACAAGTTCTAGTCTTAAAATTGTTTGGGATCCAGTTGGAAAAAGTGTTGAAGGGTAGTATCTAGGTCAGGTGAAGGAGAATATGCTACCTGAAAATGAAAAATCAAAGTATACTCATATAGAAGTACAACCAAAAGGAAAATGGTATTTCAAAGGACAAGGCAATCAGTGCTTTTAGCAGTAAATCTGCTGCTATATAAAGCATCCTAATAAAATATCTAATTACTTGTCCTGATATGAGGTTCTGAAAACAAAACAGGGTAGACTTTTCAACAGCTCTACCTTTAGATGTGCACAGCTGTCACTTTAGAAATGAGCAGGTTGAACTCCTGCCTGTGCCTCAGTGAAAAAAGGCAAGGTCTACAGATATTTTACAAAACAGAGGAATCAAATAGGAATATAAAGAGAATTAAAAAAATGCTTTTCTCCAAACATAAATATGATGCTAACGTCTGTCTTTAGCAACAGCAGCTAAATAGCATTTCTTTACAAGTAATCCCAACAGTATTTGTAGTTAGTAAAAATATCTACAAATACGATCTTTCTTCCTGTCCTTTGGCAACCCTCCATAAGTTGGAGCAAAGCATTGACTTTCAAAAGAGAAATCCAGCAGGCTCCCCAGGTGTTTCTGTTCAGGTCTCATTTTCCCAGGCCACAGTGAATCACTCTTACATTGCTCTTTTGGCTGCTGCTTCATGGTGTGAAACACATTTGCATTGTACTTTTGGAAGTCACACTCTTTGTGGTTTGCTAGTGACCTATGAACTATGGCACCAACATAAAAGTTGTAGAACTTGAGCCTTACTCTGATGTAGAATATATGGCATCTCAAATACCAATTTGTATGGTTTTCATAAACCTTTTTGAGATATACACTGATACGAGAGCAGTGTTAATTATATCCAGTTTTTGAGGCAGATAAAACTGCTGCAGGAGAGGAAGAAAGAGGGTACAAGAACTCTGGGTCAATCCAGACAGGGGAAAAATAACACAGTATAAACAGTAGATGTAAAATGCATTGGAAGACAAAAAGTATTTATTGGATACAAATAGCTTCTCGGTGATAAGAAGATATTAATGATAGTAACTGAAGGCTGAAGAGAGGATGGTATGCACCTTTCTTTGCCTGGGCATCATACTGCAAGCATCTTTTGTCTGCTTTCTTGTTTTTTAGCAGGATTTGGCTGCATGCAACTGAATGCAACTACAAAATTATAGAAAACCAGTGAAGCATGAGTGGCCTGAACAAGGGCATTTTCAACATGCTCTTGCAGGGTATGTATACATCTTTCTTTATATTTCATTGGATCAGTTAGCTCACGGCCATTTCATGACTTACAGAAATATAACTTCATTTAACTTCTATAAACATCATAGAAACAAGGCTTTCAAGCTAGGTA